CTTACCATTGCCCTCTACAAAAACGGTTCAAGGAAGAGGATAAAGATGGAGGTCCTCATCTGGAGCGAACTCCCAGTTTTCCAAGGTAATAAAGTAGTCATCTCCAGCTCCCTTGTTGGAGTCTGGGAGGTCGACTACGATTTTGTACTCTGTAAATCTTGGCTTGAGGTAATAAACATAGCCTGTATCCCTTTTTAGGCCACACATGGTGTAGCAGTACTGGATGTCGGCTAAGGTGATCCTAGCGTTTTCTTGTTTGGCTAAGGCTATGACACCGTTAATAACACGGTAGGAGTTGATGGCAAGTTGCATTGGGTTCAACTTATAATAGTGGATTACCTCATGGAAAAGGATGTTGAGTGGAAGCCGAAGTCCGCACTCAATAAAGGCTATGACAGGAAAGGGCATGGAATCAGTAGTGGGCATAATGGAGTCATCATCTCCAGCTAACCTCAGATGGACGTCGGCAGGGATGTCAAACTCACACCTAAAGTGATCTAATTTGCTCGGGGTATCCACTCTGTGTTTCCACATACCCATGATATCGGCTTAAACTGAAAAGGGTATCTCGACTAAAAGGTTGGATTTTAAAAAGGGTATCTCAAAAAGGTTTTTATGGACCTCGGCTAAAGCTGGAAGATACACAGAATGTGTAGGAATAGTTTTAGTTTTTTCTAAAAAATCGAGGGTTCTACAAGCAAATCCCAAACCTAGATCTATGAAAGCAAGGATTGAAGACGAGAATCTGGAAAAACATGGCAAACATAAACAAGAATACGATTCAGATTCAACAAGAAAGATGGACTATCAAGAACATCACAAGTACAAAGGGAATGAAGTCAAGAACAGTGGCAAAAGTGCAAAAAAGTTGTGAACAGTGCGTATACTTAAGACATGGGCAAAAAGCAAGGTTGTGGAAAAAACGTATTCAGATATAAGATTCATCAATTAAAAACTTGAGTAAAACAGCAATGATGACTAATAATGAAGAAGAATTTCTTGAAAAGCAACAGGAAATAAGAACCAGAGGAAATGATAGCTTACCAGAAAGAAGGAAGCCGGGATGAGATTTGCCGATGTCTGACGACAGTTGCAGAGGCGGAAGATCGATGGAAGTCACGCCAGAGGTGGTAAACGGAGCAAGTTACAGAGCTCAGAAAGCTTGAGCAATGGCGGATTTAAGGAAGAAAGTTAGAGAGAGAAAGAGCTAGAAGATTGAATACAGAGTGAAACGACAAAATGAGGGAAAAAAGTTTTTGTTAAAACTTGAAACAGCGGCAAACGAAATTAATGCGCCTAAAACAACGTGAGCGTCAGACGGCACACGCATGCGCGAGACAATTTGGAAGCACGTTACAAACACGATCCAGTAAGAAGAAGGCACGTGGTTATGATAATTGAGTTGTTATGCATGACAGCTCATGCGCGTGAAGAAGTTCTTGGAAATCTTGATCTTTAAGAAGGCATGTTGGCCTATGATGATGATCTCAGCTTACGTCGATGTATTGGCAGAAAGTATCGATATAGGTTCTATCACCTCAGAATGTCGAGATAATAGAACCTATGGGGCAGTTGTGGGGATATATTTTCTGAGTACTAACACGTGGCTAAAGTGACGCCGATGTGTTAACCGAGGTGCCATGTGTCCTGGTCATGACGCCGAGATTACTTCCGAAGATATCAAAATCCGAGATGAGCGGATAAGGCACAAGAGTCCTAGAATGATGAGGGGACTCAGCCTGGATAAAGATAAAAGATAAAGCTTTTAGGGAGTTTATCTCTATCTATTGAAAAGTCCTGGATAAGCACTGAGCAGAAGTCCATTGAAGCTAGGCTTCTATGGAGACTAGGATTGAGTTAATTATAAAAGAAAGGCACCCCCGTTGGGTCTAAGGTACGCAATTTATATTCTGAATAGTAAGATTAACACCATTGATTATCTTTGAGAGATATACTGACTTGATCGTCGGAGTACCCCCGGGTGGACGAACCACCGTCGGAATCTTTTCTTTCTGTTGCAGGTCAGCCAAGTGTCATCTATTCTGCCAGTGTTCTCCAGCTGAATATTGAGTTGGGCAGTGTGATCGGAAATTCACCCGCACATTGATTTTTGGCAGTATCATGATCGTCCAATAAGAAGGCTTTCCATTTTTCCAAATGAGTGATTTGATGACCTATTGATTTTAATAATTGATTGCAATATTGATCATTCGGAGGGCAATATAGGAATATAGGATGAAGTTTACTTCATATAATTTTTCGAAAAAAAAATGTTAAGTGTGAATGTAATTGTGGATGGAACTGTAATTTCTTGAAATACTTTCTCAATGAACTTTTCTTTTCTTTCTCCAATGACACAAACTACCTGCTTCTCCTTGGAGTTTCTTTGACTCTGATATTTAAGCAAGTTGTATGGTAAGCAGGTTCTGTTAACATGGGGAAATTTGCGTGGAATTCTACTTCTTATTATTAACCACTTGTTCTTGAAATCTGGGTAGCACATGTTTGAGGGATTGGCGATGCACTCTCAGTGGGGTTGTATACAACTTTTCATATAGTGATCATCAAGTAACTAATAGTAATCGTGAGTATCGAATTTTGGATAAAAACATGAAACAAGAACTATGATCATTGAGTATGAAAGTCTCAGCTTGCTATGAAAGTCTCTTATAATTGTGAAGTGTTCGATACAAAAATTTAACAGATGGCTGGGTCAAATAGGAATTAACCAAAAACAAGTTTCATTGTAACCGAGCTTCAATGCCAAGAATCCGCGACAAAATACAGCAAATCTAGATATTTGTAACTATATTAGCCTTCATGTTTAATTTCTCTACAAGTTCCTTTGACTTCTTGAGAGACCCATCAACTTCAGATAAGTAATTATATTAGGATATCACATGTTCATATTTTTTCATAAATCATTATTTATCAAGGTTTTTTATATTTTTTAAGGAAAATGTTTGAGGGCCACAATTTTGTGGCCACAATGGCTCAAAACGGTCAAAACGACATCGTTTTGGGTGCAAAACATGCCAAAATAATATTGTTTTGACAGTTTTGAGCCATTGTGACCACAAAAATTGTGACCCTCTAGCATTGTTGATTTCTTAATCACTCATCACAATTATAATAATATCATATCTTCTCCACCAATCATAATACACATAACACCGCGACAAATTAAATATAAGATCTAATTACATTTTACTTCTCAAATTTATAATAAAAAAAAAAATTGAAAAATATTTGTAATCAAACCGTAGAACCACCGCGTGTGGCCAACTAGTTATATATAAATATAATAAAACTGGGGACATTGCCAGCAAAGCATGCCTAATCTATGTCACCCTATACCTTTCCCATCACCGTCACGTGAGTTTTATTTATTTATTTATTTTTTTTAAGGGATGTGTCAAAAAAATATTATAAAAAAGTAATAAATTTTATAAATATTAATAATTAAAATTAATATTTTTTTATTGTATAATAATTTTTCAAAATTTCTCTTGAATAGTAATTTTTTCTTTTTTAATTACATTTTATTTCTCCCCTCTAAAAAAAAATTACATTTTATAATTCAGTAATATTTTACTTTCTTCAAAAAAAATAAAAATAAAAAACACTTTTTCATTTTAAAATATTAATTTATATAGCTGTAAATTTTTTTAAGGAACCGTTACAAAATATATGGAAAATTAATCTATTATGCCTTTACACCTAATATCTCAAATATTATAAAAATGATCTTATTTTCTTTTTCTTTTTTTTTTCTTATATTTTTTTTTTCTTCAGGTTGAGGTCATTTTAAATATTTAATAATAATTTTTAACTATTGAATGAGTAAAGAATTTTATTCGGAAAGGATAAGTAGGCTTCGTTTGGGAAGCCATGGTTTGGGCTTTTTTGGCTATTTTAGTCACAAAAAATAAAATAGGTTATTTTAGCCATAATAAACAAAATATCACATCCAACCCATAATCATTACATTCTTCTCTCACAAAAAAACTCAAAAAAGCCAAAAAGCCAAAAAGCCCTTCCCAAACCAAGCTTTTAAGCCCAGGCTAAAATAGCCAAAAAAGCCAAAAAGCTAAAGACCAACCCACTTCCCAAACGGAGATGTCAAATTGTTTTAACAAGCTCATTAGCCTGCTTGGATTTATTTTCAAAATTTCAATACTGCATAGTCAATATCTTAAAATTTTACAAAGTATTGATTAATATATACATAAAATTATAAAAGTAATAATTTAAGTAATATTTCAATAATTTTAGCCCTCTCACTTCTTTTTCTTCTCTCTCTCACGTGCGCGCACACTCACACACATACAAACTTAGACTAAGTTTGGCATCCCCTAAAAAAGCTAAAAAGCTAAAAAGTTATTATCTTATTTAAGTCATATCATCTAATTTAAGTCACATTACCTCTATATCACATCACTTCAAACTTAATTCATATTTCATAAAAAATCAAAAAGTACACTTATTTAGAACATCCCAAATAATCCTATTCTCTCACACACACAGTCAATTGCAAGAGTTGGGACTAAGTGGCAGTGAAGGGTTGTGGGGTGTGTTGGAGTGAAGCTAACAAAGGGACGATGGTGGCGGTGATGGATTGTAGAAGGCCAGGTGATGGCAGATAAGATAGGAGAAGGTACGGGCTAGAGCTATTGTGGTTGGAGTGAGAGGGTGAGGGTGGGATTAAGATTAGGATTTAGAAAATTAAGAATGATAATAAAATATGAATTTTATGTTAGAATAAAATTATAATTAAAAATATAAGAGGTGAGTGTTGTAAAGAAAAAAAAATAAAAAAGGATACGACTATTAGCAGCTCTCAATATTTTATTTAGTCAACCCATGCATGTATGATTTGTAAAAAAATTTCATACCCATAATAAAAGTGGTACAATTTTATAATTAAAATATATAAATTCATAAATAAAAAAATAAATTGCTATTTACTAATAATAATCAAGGGTGTTGGTGTAATTTAATTAAACTATATGATACTATACAACATATATTTATTTATAAATAATATACTCTCTCTCTTCTTTCCTCTCCTCTTCTGTTCCAGCGTTAGTCATTTTCTGGGAAAAGAAAAAAAAAAAATCTTTATTTCGAATTCATGTCGGTATGTACTCGAATTTCTCTCACTAAAATGCCCTAAATTGCTAATTTGTATCCGATCATGAGATGCGATTTAGTTATTTTTTCGAAGATGATGATGACGTAACGCTTATTGATTGCTTTTTTCTTGAAATTACCTACCTCTGTTTCGATTTCACTGTTTATTGTTTTTTTTTTGGGCTTTGATCTTTGGATTGCTATGGTTTAATCTGGGTTAGCCCTAAATTTGAGATACACCGTACTGTTTGATTGTATTTGTGTGTTTTTTTGATCAAGTGTGTTTATCTGAGCTGGTTTAGTGATTAATCATTCATTATTGTTTGATGTATGTGTATATGTAGTTGAATTAAATGTTGTTGTGCTCTTGAAATCTTTTTTTGGGTTTTGTATGTATTGTGAAGTTGAAACTTTTGGTGTTTTGAATCTTCTCTTCTTTATAATGTGTAATTTTCATAATTTATTTTCTTAATATGTATCCATTTGAGTTTAAATGTGATTGATTAGATTACTTCAATTGGGTTATCCTAATTACATAAAAAAAGAAAAAAAGAAAAAAGAAAAAAAAAAAGAGATTTCTTGGCTTACCCACTTAATGATCTGATAGTTATTTTGGTTCCTTGAGTTCATCACGTAGTGGTGGGGATCTTTCCTAATAGCTTCTTCTTCTTGCTACACCATGTTGGCCCATTTAGGAAGAATTTAGAGGATCTGAGGACTCAACAGAGTACCACAATTGTTCCCATCAAATGGATATTACATGTTCTATATACCAACCTTGATCTGTGTGTGACAGGACATGGGTTAGGTTACTTAAGCCCTATTTTCTGCATTAATGGATATTTGAGTTAATTAGAAAGCCAGTACAAGTTTCCAACAGTTGTGAAGCAGGACAATGTAAAATGGGAAGTGTCCATCTTTGAAAGGGTCAAAGGTTTGGAGCTATGGGAAGCATGAGCTAGCTAACCTCTTAGTCTATAACTTGCAAGATGCAACCTAGATGACTTCAGCTACATCTCTTTTGTATTCGTGTTTTATATCTTTTATTGCTTTGGTCTAGAGGAACGCATGATCTTGCTGAAACTCCCAATGGTGCATCTCTAAATTCAGTTTGCACTCACTTACGTGGATTTTGTGAAATTAATTGTGTAATGTGTAATCCTTTTTCCTTCTTTGAAAATTTGTTTGTCTATCTTTGGTGCGGTGTTGGGGGAAAAAGCCCCATGTAGAGAAATCAGATTGATACTTATAATATGTCATTCATTATTCATGACTGAGGGGGTAGAATCAGAATTGAAACTTTGATAGAGGATTTGAAATTTCTAGCTGTGTTGTACCACATTAGTTGGGCCTGACAGTTGGAACCTTATTGGAAAATGTAGATCCAAGGTTGGTGAAAGAGCCTGATTTGACAGAATGAGGAAGGGTTTTGCTTAGAAAATAGTGTGGAACCTTTTTTCCAGGGATTAGGTTGATCAATTGGTTGACCAAGAAAATTCTTGCAGAGTTTGCAGCAAACCAAATGAGGGGAAAATTTGGTTACTTATGTTTGAATCCTTTTCTTGAACAAGAATGTCCTACTTGGATTCGTGTATTTTTGGTGGACAAAGACTTGGCATGCCTAGTGAAGATTTTGAGAGTACTTGAATAGTCTTGAGTCAGAGAGTGTAAGTCATTGAGTAATAGCGCAAATGGCTGCTTGCCAATAAAAACTGATCTAGTTTTAACTGATCTTGTCTGAACCCAAAATCACAATGAGATTTTTGCATTATTGAACCGATCTAGTTTTAAATCATTTTTTGTTTTGCAAAGAACCAAGATTTTCCCTGATGGAGGCTAGAAAATCAAAACATTTGTTAGAGACCTCCAAAAAGTACAGAATATTGTTGCATCTATGGCCTTTAGGATTGGTTCCCTTCCTTAGGTGTATTTGGGACTTTCTTTGGGGTCATCCTTCAAGGCTTTAGGATAGAGTTTTGAGCATTTTGAAAAGAGACTTGCGAGGTGGAAAATGCAATATTTACAGAGGGTGGCTTACTTTGATTAAAAGTTCACTTTTAAGTCTACTGACCTATTTAATGCCTCTCCATATGGTGGCTTTGGTATTCACCATTTTTTCCAGTTTAATCAAGCTTTGTTAGGGAAGTTGTTGTGGAGATATACGGAGGATGGAGGACATCTATGGAGAAAAGTGACTCGTTGCAATTTTGGTGTTGGCTCAAGGGGTTGGATGTCTGTGGAAGCTTGAGAATCATTTGGAGTAGGTTTGTGGAAAGTCTGGCCAGAGTTCTTCAAGAATGTGAGGTTTGAGCTGAATGCTGGTAGTGGAATATAGTTTTGGCATATTTTTGGTTTAAGGATGTTCCTCTATCGCCAAAATTCTTGAAGGATGTGAGGTTTGGGCTGGGTGATGGTAGTGGAATGCAGTTTTGGCATATTTTTGGTGTAAGGATGTTCCTCTATTGGTGGTATTCCTGAACTTTTTTGGCATTGTGGTAAATAAGGAGACACTGGTACTGAACTAATTTAGAAATGAGGAGTGGGGATTGTTTGGGACATTCTTTATTGGGACTCTTCATGGCTGGGAGGTGAGGGAATTGGTGGAGTTTCTTGCTATTCTTTATGGAATTAAGATTCCTCCTATTACAAAGTCAATATAAACTTCAGTGGCATCTAATTGGTATGGTTGTTTATTTGCCCCGTTGTTAGTAAATGTGAATGTGCTATCATCATATCTATCAACTAATATACCACATGCTTGCATCTGAACAATAGGAGGCAAAATTTTTTATAAATCCTATTCTGGTTGGGTGATAATTTTTTCCACTTCTGCCCTTTTTCATGGAAGCAGCTGTGAGTTGAGATTCAGTTTAGCAATTGAAAGGATATCCATGTAATATTTTTGCATTAATTATCCATTTCCTCCTTCCCCCAATAGGAAAAGGGACGGCCATTGCCGAAGTTCGGTGAGTGGGATGTGAATGACCCCGCATCAGCTGAGGGGTTTACTGTGATCTTTAATAAGGCCAGGGATGAGAAAAAGACGGGTGGCAAACCTGATTCACCAGCAAAGGCAGATTCTAACCTTAAGAATGGAGAGGACCCTGTCAAGCCTCCGGCGGTAAGTTGTTCTTTGCTTATTCACTATTGCACCTACCATTTTTCGGTAGTTGAATATATTTCTTAGGCTACTGAGTGCGTGTCTACTTTCCCACTGAAAGATAACGTGATGCAGCTAAGATTTTATAAAGTCTATGTATTTTTAATTTAATTTTATAGAATTAAAATTTTATAAGGCATATTCTGAGTTGGTATAGATTTATTTAGTTTCCTTATTTGAGATGATTTAGTCTTCTGGTTATATTAGTTTTGATATAATTTCATTTGCATTAATCTTGATGTTGTTCCCATTCTGTGACGACAGCACCATCTATTAGTTCCACAGATTGGATTTCAATTTTCTGCATCCGCCTTGGGATCGTTCTTAATTAGAACTCAACCAATTAGATGATCTCAATCCACATTACATATACTAAGAAATGTCTAAAGTACCAATGTTGGACTCTCGACACTTTGCCAAGGGTATGGGATATGTGGCTGGCATGTGTGGTTAACATTCACCTAGCAAGTATATCTAGTAATTTGAATTAACCATAAAACTCCGCATAAAACCTTTATATGATGCATGAAATGCTCTATGGCACCTTACAAACACCATTTAAGAAATACAAACACCATTTAAGAAATATGAATATTTTTCCATGTCTCCTTGTCTTTGTACATGGGAGTAAATGAGTTGGACACTTAGTTACACACCCACAACTTACTCATCCAAGTCCATGTTACATAGATCTCAATCCATTCCATAGCAATCTTTAGGAATCATTGGTGGACCGGTGGAAGATGACATTACACAAGAAAAAGAAGTTTGTTGATTTGGTCGTGTCCTCTCACCTATGAACGGTCGGTTTGCTGTCTGGTTAATACTTAGAAGGAACACGAGTCTCTCTGTTCTTGCCTCGTTCATGGACAAATTTGGCCAAATCGGCACCTTGTATTGGATCATCCTTCTTGGTGCTATTTCTGTGCCTATTTCCATGACCTAGCCGTAGATGGAGGAAGTTTTAGCATTTTTATGCTATATTGTTAACCAACAGTCTAATAATAACATTAGAATAGCTTTCTCAAATCAGAAGCACACAAAAGAAACATCTGAACGTTATTGTTGGGCTATTTGTTTTCTTATTATTTGCTAATATGGAAGACGTACTGATTTGCAGAAAAAATGGTTTTGCTGCATGCAAGCCCCGGATGCTGAATCTTGAGGCTATTTCCCTGAGCAAGGGCTTCAGTAGAAGAACATGTTCATAGTTGGTCCCACCATATTTTAGGAGCTGTAGATCGATGATGGGTGCTGCTTGAATCCATTTTATGTATTGTAAAACTGCATTTTGTGTGGGGAAAGAGTAAAATATGAAAAGAAAAAAGGGGAAAAAAAAAGAAAAAGAAAAAAAAAGAACTTTATTGTATGTATATGTTCTGATTTGGTGGATTATCATGTGAAGCTTTAGCTATTTGTTGTTGTCTCTGCCTTGTACTATGGGCTGTAGAGCTTGTCCAGTCTATGATTTTTCTTTTTCTTTCTATTCCTGTCTTTACATGGAAAAAATAACTCATCTCATGTCTTATTTATTGATTGTGGGTAGTTTTTTGGTTCATGTTATCTCTCGACCTCCCTTTTTTTTTTTTTTTTTTTTTTTGGGACAAATCCTAGGCAGTTATTTGATTTTTGTTTAAAGAATCTTTTTCTGAAAAACATTAAAACTAATTTGGTGGTAAAAAAAAATTGAAATTTTTTGTACTACATTTTATTTGGGTGAAAGAATATTTTTAAAAAGGTTTTTTTTAAGTGTTTATTTCACCAAATTAGCTTTTATTATTTTTAGAAAACAGATTCTGAAAACAAAATCACAAAGTCATATCCATGTTTGTTGGCAGGAAAACTGCCAACATTGGGCAACTAATATCAACTCCTGATATACCTAATCACCCCGTTCTTGACTGATCTATAAACCAAAAATTGATCACAATGAGCAATCACATGCATCAGCTGCACAAACAACTAATTTCAACTTCTCATGTACCTAAATGCCTTGTTCTTGATCGGTCTACAAACCAAAAGTCGCCCACAACAATCACAGGCATCAGTCGGCACTATTGTGTACCGCGACCACTTTGGCTGCCACACGTTCAATGATGTTTACTGAAACTGAAATTTCACTGATCAAAATGGAGAATTATATATAAAAAGAGAAACATGATACATTTTATTTCTTGCTCACCTGCAATGGAATAATACATTTGTTGATCACAACAAATCAGAAAAATTTCAAGACAGTTCTCTTAATTTTAATCATCCAAAGTCAAAAACCCTCCATTTTAAATTGCTAATGGTGTCTATACAATCTTTCTTTAGATCCAAAATTCTGAAAACATAAACATGACAAGACAAAAGCAAAACCTAAACTCTGGACATCCCTAGCTTCCGATCAAAAACAGGCGTCGTAGAGGTAAACTTGGAGAACGCTAGCCCCGATTAGAGCAGCTGATTCCCACAAAGCTTTGTGAACAGCCCTCCGGCTTCATTCCTTCGTTCACTACATTACAGTAAAAAACCATAATCAAATTACGAACACAGAATATAAACAAATGGATAAGATTTTAAAAATTTTGATGATGAAATCCACATCTAAGAAAAATCTTATTCATCCATATACACAGAATACTCATGAATGGATAAGATTTTACGAATTTTTAATTTAACATAAGCTGAGGCTCCATGGGACTTCCTTATGCTCCCAACTGAGGAACATATTTCCCATCAAACTATTTGGAGAACAAAAATGATGAGTTCTTCAGTCTAAAATGCCATCAGAGATGGAAAATAGAAACCAGTCTCAAGCCAAAATTAGCAGGTTAAGGCATATAGTGTTTCAAGACAAGGAAAAACCTAGCGCTTGGCTTTCAGTCTGAGTTCAACCCGCACATTGATTGTTGCAGTATCATGATCGTCCAATAAGAAAGGCTTTCCATTTTTTCCAAATGAGTGATTTGATGACCTATTTGATCTTTCAATAATTGATTGCAGATATTGATCATTCGGAGGGCAATATAGGGAATATAGGATGAAGTTTACTTCATAATAATTTTTTTCGAAAAAAAAATGTTAAGTGTGTAATGTAATTGTGGATGAACTGTAATTTCTGAAATACTTTCTCAATGAAACTTTTTCTTTCTTTCTCAATTGACACAAAATCTACCTGCTTCTCCTTGGATTTTCTTTGACTCTGATATTTAATGCAAGTTGTATGGTAAGCAGGTTCTGTTAACATGGGGAAATTGTGCCGTTGGAATTTCTACTTCTTATTATTAACACACTTGTCTCTGAAATCTGGGTAGCACATAGTTTGAGGGATGGCGATGCACTTCCTCAGTGGGGTTGTATACAACTTTTCATATAGTGATCATTCAAGTAAACTAATAGTAATCGTGAGTATCGAATTTTGGATAAAAAATTGAAACAATGAACTATTGATCATTGGAGTTATGAAAGTCTCAGCTTGCTATGAAAGTTCTTATAATTGTTGAAGTGTTCGATACAAAATTTAACAGATGGCTGGGTCAAATAGGAATTAACCAAAAACAAAGTTTCAATGTAACCCGAGCTCAATGCCAAGAAATTTCCGCGACAAAACAGCAAATTCTAGATCATTTGGTAACTATATTAGCCTTCATGTTTAAATTTCTCTACAGTTTCCTTTGACTTCTTGGAGGAGACCCATCCAACTCAGATAAGTAATTATATAGGATATCACAGTTCATTTTTTTCATAAATCATAATTTATCAAGGTTTTATATTTTTAAGGAAAATGTTTGAGGCCACAATTTTGTGGCCACAAATGGCTTCAAAAACGCGTCAAATACGACATTCGTTTGGTGCTAAAACATGCCAAAATAATTTTTTGACAGTTTTTGAGCCATTGTGACCACCAACAAAAATTGTGACCTCTAGCATTGTTTTGATTCTCTTAATACACTCATCACAATTATAATATATCATATCTTCTCACCAATTCATAATAACATAACACCGCCGACCAATATAATATAAGATCTAATTACATTTTACTTCTTAAATTTATAATAAAAAAAAAATTTTGAAAAAATATTTGTAATCAAAACCGTAGAAAACACCGCGATGTGTGCCAAACTAGTTATATTAATATAATAAAACTGGGACATTGGCCAGCAAAGCAGCCTAATCTATGTCACCTCTATACCTTTCCCCATCCCGCTCACGTGAGTTTTATTATTATTTATTTTATTTTAAGGATGTGTCCAAAAAATATTTAATAAAGTAATAAATTTTAATAAATATTTAATAATAAAATTAATTTTTTTTTATTGAATAATAAATTTTTCAAAATTTCACTGAAATAGTAATTTTTTCTTTTTAATTACATTTTATTTCTCCCCTCTAAAAAAATTCAGTAGTGTTTGGTTTGAATTTTTGAATTAAATTTTTTGAAAAATTTGAATTTTTGATTTCTCGTGTTTTTTGTTTTAATGAATATTTTTAAAATTTTAAACATTTTTTTCTTTTTTAGATACACCTTAATTAAGATGATCTAAAAAAGTAAAAATTGTAAAAAATATTTTAAAAATTAATAAATACATAAAAATATTAAACAAAAAATGTACTGAATTATGGTTTTTTTTTATATTTTTGGTATTAGTGAATTTTTAAAACGGTTTTTTTTTTAAATTTTTTTTAATTGTTTTAGGTATATTTGATGTTAGCGTATATCTAAAATTAAAAAAATTGCTCAAAATATTAAAAAAATTCAGTGAAAACAAAAAAAACATGGAAAATAAGAAGTAGAATTTTTTCTCTAAATAATTTTTAAAAAATAATAACCAAGCCATAAGTGATTTACATTTATAATTCCAGTAAGTATTTTACTTTCTCAAAAAATAATAAAAATAAAAAAACTTTTTTCATTTTAAAATATTAATTTAATAGCTGTAATTTTTTTTAAGGAACGTTACATAATAGATGGAAATCAACTATTATCCTTTACCACTAATATCTCAAATATTATAAAAATGATCTTATTTTTTTTTTTTTTTTTTTTCTTCAGGTTGAGGTCATTTTAAATATTTAATAATAATTTTTAACTATTGAATGAGTAAAGAATTTTATCCCGAAGAAATAATAATCTCATATAAAATGTGGGATACACATTTCTCATATAGCGATTAAGATTAACAATTTCAAGATAATATACCGTATTTTATTTGTTTATTACAAATAAATAAGTCATTTTTGAGGTCTTTTATTATGGATCATGCGTCAATAAATTGACAATGTTAAAAAATTGACGAATCTTTTTTTTTTAACCAAACGAACATACTTGTAGAATAAGGAGGGGCATGTGGGGTACATTTCCAACTGCCAAAAATTCCCCAATCTATCCCTTTAATTTCTGATTTTTTAAAAAACATGTTTGGGCATCCAAAATTTGAAAAAAATTATATTCCCTTCACCATTAGGTGGTTAGGACTATTTCTATTCCCAATACTTAAAGCAACATCGGTCGTTATCGTCAAAGACAACTTTACACACCCTTTCTACTAAAATCTCTTAATTATTAATAAATATCATTTTAAATAATTTTATCTATAAATTATATAAATTATATTTTTAATTATAAAAATTCATACAAATATTTGTTTTTTGAAAGTTAGTCTTAAAAGAGCAAAAGTTAAGATTCTGCAAAGCATCAGAGGGAGTTGGTTTGATTTGTGATTTAAAATTTATAATTTACTTTTAAAAATTTTATCAGTGTTAATGCATATATTTTTCTTTTATTTTAATGAAATATCAAAATAAAAAATTAATGTGGAGAGAGATAATGAGGTGTTAAATTTATTCAAATTAGTTTTATATACATAAAAATATAATGTAAAATAAGTTAATATTATATATATATATGAAAAAAAAATGCAAATAGTATTATATTTTATGTAAATACTTATAATTGTTTAAAGTTATTCTTTAATCAATTAATAGGTTAAAATCGCCCAAATTATAGTTTGATTACGGATATTAATTTATTAATCCGTCATGCACTCTTTAGTTATAATTTATTTTCAAACGTATTGATCGCAACCAGTTTACACCATACCCATAATAAAAGTGGTACAATTTTATAATTAAAATATATAAATTCATAAATAAAAAATTAAATTGCTTTACTAATAATAATCAAGGTGTTGGTGTAATTTAATTAAACTATATGATACTATACAACATATATTTATTATAAATAATATACTCTCTCTCTTCTCTCCTCTTCTGCTTCAGCGTTAGTCATTTTCTGGGAAAGAAAAAAAAAAAAATCTTTATTTCGATCATGTCGGATGTACTCGAATTTCTCTCACTAAAATGCCCTAAATTGCTAATTTGTATCCGATCATGAGATGCGATTTAGTTATTTTTTTCGAAGATGATGATGACGTAACGCTTATTGATTGCTTTTTTCTTGAAATTACCTACCTCTGTTTCGATTTCACTGTTTTATTGTTTTTTTTTTGGGCTTTGATCTTTGGATTG